CCTGGCACAAGCACTTCTGTAATGAATGAGTCAACTAGCAGTGGGTTCACCAGGCCAAGCTACACTGTGCGAGCTCTATGTGAGTAAGCCTCTCTCAGCTGCTGTCTTCTGCTGGGCACCTTGCTGCTGGGAACAGTACACAGTCACCAGATGCACCATGCAATGGAATTTCTCCATGGTTCAGGCTCCTGTCACCTGGAGCAGGACATCCCTAGTGGCGCATGTTTTAGCCCAGATTAAATGCTAATACAGTTGGGTGCTGGTACCCAATCACTCAGAAATGGCTCTCAATCACAAATGAGATATATGGGGAGGAAGCAGTGTTTCTCAAAGTGTGGACTAGAAAGAAATACTTGAACCAGAATTACTTAGGGCTTTTTAACAAGGCAGCTCGATCCCTGAGTTGTATCTCAGAATGCCTAAATCAGAATCTCAGAGTGTATAACCCTGAGAATCTGTATTTTTTCCAGCTTTACTGAGATATGATTGACATATAAATAAGTTTCAGGCGTACAACCTGTTGGTTTGATGCATTTATATATTGCAATATGATTATCACCATAGCATTAGTTAATGCCTCCATACCGTCATATAATTATTTTGTGTGGTGAGGACATTTAAGATCTACTCTTTTAGGGGCGCCTGGGTGGCTCAGTTGGTTAAGCGTCTGCCTTCGGCTCAGGTCATGATCCCAGGGTCCCGGGATCGAGCCCCGCATCGGGCTCCCTGCTCGGCAGGAAGCCTGCTTCTCTCTTTCCCACTCCCCCTGCTTGTGTTCCCTCTCTCACTGTCTCTCTCTCTCTCTCTGTCAAATAAATAAATAAAATCTTTAAAAAAAAAAAAAAAGATCTACTCTTTTAGCAACTTCCAAGTATACAATACAGTATTATTAGCTATAATCACCATGCTGTACATCAGATCCCCAGCATTTGTTAATCTTATAACTGGAAGTTTGTATCCTTTGACAAGTATCTCCCCATTTCCCCTACCCCAGCCCCTGGTAACCACCACTATACATTGTTTCTCTGAGTTTAGCTTTTTTAGATTAAACATAAAAAATGATAACATACAGTATTTCTCTTTCTCTGTCTGACTTTTTTCACATAGCACAATACCCTTAAGATTTATCAGAAGCTTCCCAGGTGGTTCTTTTTTTCTTTTTTAAAAGATTATATTTTATTTATTTGTCAAAGAGTTAGAGCATAAGCAGGGGGAGCGGCAGGCAGAGGGAGAAGTAGGCTCTAAGCAGGAAGCCCGATGCAGGACTCAATCCTAGGACCCTGGGATCATGACCTGAGCCAAAGGCATACACCCAACCAACTGAGCCACCCAGGTGTATCTTCCCAGGTGATTCTTTTTTTTTTTTTTTTTTCAAAGATTTTATTTATTTGACAGAGAGAGACACAGCGAGAGAGGGAACACAAGCAGGGGGAGTGGGAAAGGGAGAAGCAGGCTTCCCACCGAGCAGGGAGCCCGATGCGGGGCTCGATCCCAGGACCCTGGGATCATGACCTGAGCCGAAGGCAGGCGCCCAACGACTGAGCCACCCAGGCGCCCCTCTTCCCAGGTGATTCTTAAGCACAGTCATTTTTTAGCACCTCAGGGACAATGCAAATTGCTCTATACTAGGAGTCAGAACACCTGGAAATCTGCCACTTACGATCTGGGTGACTGGTCAAGTTACTTGTCTCTGAGTCTGTTTACTCATCTATGAAATGAGCATAATAATCCCCACTCTGCCCTCCTCACAGCGTTATGTTTATTATTGATGTGACAATCACCCAATGCACTATGAAAATTACTTTAGAGACCAGAAATCACCATGAGAGACTGCCAAACAGTCCCTTCTGCACACTCTACGAAGAGAATCTGTCCTGCCACCTTGGGCCAACTGACCTCTGATCCTGCCTTGAGCTCCTGCGTGGAGCTGCTCTGACAAAGTTCCTTCTGCAAGAGGGCTGGGGGGAAGTAACAGGTAGTTGTCAACAGCTCTGGGTCTCTTGAATAGGTGGAATTTAGAATGCATTTTCCTTCTGAAAATTGCCAAGACAAACTAAGCTAAGTAAAAACAAACAAAAAACACTAAAACATCTAATGTTACTTTTGCAGTGTAAAATAGTGTAGAGTTTTGTGACCATCGTGCATTCAGCTCTCTAATGGAAATTGTACTTCAAGTACCAGACTGACTCAGGGATGAATGTCTAGAGGCTGCCAACAGCCTCTGGTCTCCTACCCTCTACAGCAGGAGTCAGCAAACTTTCTGTTAAGGGATGTATAGTAAATATTCTAGGCTTTGCAGGCCAAGAAGCCACATGCTCTATTGTTGTAGTAAGAAGGCAGCCATAGATGACCAATGAGCATGGCTATGTTAGCAAACTATACAAAACAGGCGGTGAGCTGGATTTTGCCTGCAGGCTATAGTTTGCCAACCAGTCCTGGCTCTAAAATGAAGATCTTAAAGGTGGCTGCAGTGGTGTGCTGGAACCAGCTTATATCAGCTTGCAAGAGCCAACTGCTAGCATCTCTTCCCAAATCCCTGTTCAATGACTTCATGTTGGCAGTTTGAAGTCAGCCATGTTGGGAATCATTACACCATGAAAACTGGCAAGATCTGCGTATCGGAGCTCCCTCCCACTCCCCCAATCCCAGAGAACTGGTTGTCAAACATTTGCCAGCACACTGCTAGGTGTGTGTCTGCTGGGATGGGGGTGGAGTGCAGTGGTTGGGTGAGCCAGACAGTCCACTGGAATGTGGGAAGAAACCACTAAATGTCAGTTCCTATTTTATTTAGTCCTTGTGAATTTTCTAATTTTGTGTAAGTTTCATAATGTACTAATGCTCACATTTCAAAGATGTAGATCCTCAGTTTTGTTTAATTGATTGGGGTCACTGGGATCCAAAATGCTTAGAGTATACCACTCCTAAGGCTGTTATCCCTGTACAGGTAACTCAATGCCAAGCAGAGTACAGGATGGATAAAGGTCTTCTTCTATTCCCAAGACAGCCTTGCTCTTGCCCTCACCTGCCTCACCCTACCCCAGGATCTTGAATGGGAGCAGGAGTGGCCAACTGCGAAAGGAACCTCTGGTTAGGGTGCAGATTAAATACCCTGAGACTGCCCTTTTACAGGCAATCCTTTCTAGCCCACACTCAAGAGTCCCAGCCCCAGCCCTCCAACTGCCTGTGGCCTCAAACATCACAGCCCACTGAAGATTGCTCCCACTCCCAGGTTTTCTGCCTTGCTCTGAACAAGCAGTTTAGCATGGGTTATCTATTTTCACAGATAGGTTCAATCCAAGCTCCCATTGCTTACTGGTTTAGGACCTAGGAAAAGTTACTAAATCTCTCAAAACCTCCTTATCTGTGAAAAGGGGATAATAGTAGCACCTACCTGGCGGGGGTGTTGGGAAGATTAAAATGCTTACTCAAATGAGTAGCATTTAGGCATCTGAGCCATATAAAAGACTCAGGACATGTTAATCTTTATTCTTCTTAACCCTCTTTCCTGTAGCCTATCACTGGGGGCATCGTGCCATCAGCAATGCCTGGGGTGGGACAGATCCTTGCACTGGAGGGCCAGTGGAAGAGTGGGGGGTGAGAAACTAGGCAGAAAGTACCTAGGAGCCAAGCATCATACATTGGAAATCACATAATGGGTGACATTTTAGGGCCATGGATGCCTGGGCCCCCCACATCCCTGAGATTCTGATTGGTCTGGGGAGACACCGACTCATGCTCTGTAAGTTGAATTTCCAGCACTAGCATTGGGCTGTTTGCCTCTTAAATATTTCCAAAACCTGTCCTTCTTTTACTTCTCTTTCCCTCCTATCACGCTGACTTGGGCCTCCCATCATCATGCACTGAGGCTTGTGCAGTATCCTCTTAGCCGGATCAATTCACATCATATCGTTCCTGACCCCATATGTGTTCTTCAGAGTTCCTTCTCAAGGCCACAGCAGAGGTGTAAGTGATTTTAATGTGCTGGTAATTATTTTCTCTAGGGATTCCATTCCCAAACAACAGAGGGAGCAACGGTGGTCGCAGTAGTGCTTGAAGTGACCTCCCTCACAGAGTCGCGGGAGCTTGCCGTGCACTGTGTGCACACACTGCCATTTTACCAGGGAGGAAGGTCACCTGCAATAGACCTGGGACGCAGGCTGAGGTCTCCTGACTCTTCCTGTGCAGAGGGTGGTGAGGGAAAACCTTAAACCTGACTTGGGGGGTGCCTGGGTGGCTCAGTCGTTAAGCGTCTGCCTTCAACTCAGGTCATGATCCCGGGGTCCTGGGATCGAGTCCCGCATCGGGCTCCCTGCTCGGCGGGAAGCCTGCTTCTCCCTCTCCCACTCCCCCTGCTTGTGTTCCCTCTCTCGCTGTGTCTCTCTCTGTCAAATAAATAAATAAATCTTAAAAAAAAAAAAAACCTGACTTGGGCTGACAGATGTCACAGTACCTTTAAATTCCAGCATCTGGCACTTAATACTTGTGTCACCTGGGGTAGGTACCCTCCCTCGCTTCCTCAGTTTCTGCACTTGAATTTTCTTAAGGTCATCATGAGGTTATCTAGTAGCCTATGAGAAGGTTCTAGATCTGTGAGGGCTGCTAAGGCACTAGTGGTGTGAGCTTCGTGTGCGCCCTCTGCTGGCCAAATTCCTGTTTTTCATAAATTATGTGAGGAGGTCAGGGTTGCTAGCTAGCCTCATGGCAAAGGTCAGAAGAAGGACATGGAAGGTTCCCAGGCTCATAACCTTTCTTCTCCTGTGCCATTCAGCAGGATGTGTTACCTGCACCTCTCTGGAAAGGCAGAGGCCCACCCAGGGTTCATCTTTCTTATTGACCCTCCTGAGATTCACTTCCACAAAGGAAAAGCCTCAGCCTCATCACAGCACCCTTAGGTATCCCCCATCTCTGATCCTCTGACTTCCCTAAGAGAACATAGTGGCACCACCCTCATCCCCACCCTCACCCATCACCACCCTCATCAGTTCACCCAGGGGCCTTACATGAATAGGGAGAGCTCATTGTGGGGAGGCTCATGTTTGGCTCCTGGGGGCTTCTGGTAAAGTCTGAAATGAGAGACAGTGAGGTTAGCACATACAATTGGGATTTTCTAGGGATTTAGAAACATCAGGGCCCATTTAATGCTTTACTTCTTTTTTGTATGTTTTGAGAGACACTAAAGCACAGAGACTGTAATGGCATAAAAAATAGCTTTCCTGGAGGTGCCTGGGTGGCTCAGTCAGTTAAGCCTGATTTCAGCTCAGGTCATGATCTCAAGGTTGTGAGTTTGAGCCCCACGTCAGACTCTATGCTGGCCATGGAACCTGCTTAAGATTCTCTCTTTCCCTCTCCCACTGTCCTTCCCGCCCCCGCCCCCCAAACCTCTGTCTCTCTCTCTCTAAAACAAAACAAAACAAAACTTTCCTGGTCAAAAATGGTAGAAACGGAAATGAAATAGAGCTAACTTAGTTTCTGAATGCAGAACTTCCTAGAACCTTACTTATTACAAACATATGCATTGCATTAATTCAGGGGGTATAGTATACATTAATCTGAGAATAATCTGGAGGCTTCTACCTGATAAAACATTAAGTTTGAGAAATACCTGAATGAAATCCCTGGTCATAATCCAAACAACCTTTGCACATTGAGAGTATATAGCACCTAGGGAAGAAGAAAATTCAAACCTTGTGCTCTGGTATGAAGGTTCTACACAGTCTTGGCCTTGCTAACTACTTGGCTGTCTGAGGCAATTCTGCCTCTCACCACTCTGAGCCTCATTTTCCCTGTCTGTGCCTCCAGCTCTGACAGTCTATGCTTCTAAGAAGCAGGAGGACTGTACCTTGGTGAGGTAGGAATGGGGGAAGGTGGAGCTGCCCCAGGCTAGGTTCAGACAGAGACTCAAAAGGATTGTGTTGAGAGTCAGAGGAAGACTCTTCCCTTTCTACACAGGCCACCTACAAAGAAGCAGAATTAGGACACGGCCTCATTGTCACCATTTGGAGTTCCCCAGGGTTGGGAAATTACAGTATCTAGTGCTTATGCCTTCCTGGTGTGCACTCCCTGCTGTTTAAGGGACAGAATGTGCATGGTGGCCATCACATGGCCCATGTTCCAGGAGCAGGGCTGGTTCCAAACCTCTCTGTTGGCAGATCCACATTTGTCAGACAAATGTCCTATTTTTAGTTTGGGAACACGGATTGTCATGTGTGAGTTGAAGGCTCAGGGGTTGGGCCTCTGTCATGTTATAGGCCTCTCCCTTCACACTCCATGCATTAGACAGTCATTTGGGTTCAAAGCCTCCTCTTTTCATCCCCCTTGAGACAACAGCCAAGTGCCTTCCTCCGTGGGGCACTCAGAAGCCCTAAGCCGGTGTCATTTTCCCACCCCAGACTCAGACAGCCTCCTCCACTGCAGGGCCTTCTCCTCTGCTTGAGCAGGCTGGGAGGAAAGAAATGCATTTGGATGATCCAGAACCATCCAGTTGGTGAGTCACAACTTCAAAGCCCTGGATCTGTGGGTGAAGGTGATCTGTTTATCTACTACCTAACATACCTAGACACCCATGGCAAAGCTTCATTTTCCCTTCAAGGATTTCTCTTGTCTAATTCATTTACCAGGGAAGTTCTCAAAGGTCACTTACCATGCAAGGTCGACAGGAAGGAATGGGTTTGTGCACAAACCTACAAGGTCCCGCTTTAGGAGTTATTTTTTGGCCCTAGTATGAATGTTTGCAAAAATCTTACCTTCTGAGCAGCACTGGGGCTCGTCTCTTTCCTGGTCTTCAGACTCCATTTTCACACCTGAGTCCTTCAAAAATGACATTTTTAACACAATGAAATGACTCAACAGGAGCCTGGGATGAAAGGTAGGACCTGAGTAGACAGGGAAGAAGACCAGTTATGGCACTTCTGACCCCAGAAACCTTGCTGGACTCCCCTAGTGCTGATTGGCCATCAGCCTTGCTCTCTGCTTAGAAATGTTTGCTGTGTCCAGGAAGGCCTTGTAAGACTTGACCATGCTTCTTCTATCACTCCTTCTTTGATTTTTGCCCCTCCAAAGCAATGTTTCCAAACTGTGGGTATCATTTTTACGGATCTTGACAACATTTGATAAAAATGTAATCGAAAGTTCAAAGTGCATTGCTCTAGTCCTGGGGCTATCAAACTACAGTCCACAGGTCAAATCTGTCCCACTACCTGTTTCTTTAAATAAAGTTTTATTGGAACACAGCCATGTCCTTTTTCACATGTTGTCTATGGCTGCTTTCTGGCTTCAATGGCAGAGATGAGTATTTGAAAGACAGATCATCTGGCCAGCAAAGCATAAAATGCTGACTGTCCCAACATTTACAGAAAAACTTTGCTGACCCTCTGCTGTAGTCTAATCTTTGCAAAGAAAGGCAGGTTTTTTCCAGCCTCTTGTCATGGAAAACTGAGCCTCCAAAAGTCCCAGAAGGCTCAACTCCTAATGTCTTGGGGAAGGGATGACACAGGACCTCTTCACTGGGAGGGCTTAGAGGAGAGAGATTTCTAAACACCCCTCAATTCTGCAGGCCACATCTCACTCACTTCATAAAGAACTTTCCCCAACATTAGTTCAGGACAACACAGTGAGGCAAGTAAGGCAAGAATCATTATTGCCATTTTACAGATGAAAAATCTGAAGGTAAATGAATTCTCAAGGGTAACACCATTTTTAGTTTGCAGAGATGGGCAGTCTGTGTGGAAACCCAATCCTTTGAGATGCGCTTAGGAGTGAGACAAAGGCAACTAAATGCTTTGGCAAAAATTAAAAATGACATGAGAGGGCTCTAGGACTTGGCAGCAAAGACAATGAAAGATAGGGGAGGAGGCCACTGGGTGGGGACACCTGATAGAACTTTAAGGGAGTGGATAGCCAGTTTCTGAGTTTCAGTTATTTGTTATTTGGCTGCATCCCCCAAATCTACCAAGCACACCTGCCTTTGTAGTTTGGGGATAAATCAAGGGACACAGGGAATTGGTGGCACTTGAGAAGGCAGAGAATTTGGCAGCCACATGACATCAGAATAAGAAACATCTGGCAGAAATGTAGGTACCCAAATACATGAAGACAATGTGGTCCTGATGGAAGACAGAACAATACCTACAGACTGAGGTACTGGGGATAACCCTGTAAGCCGCTTACGGAATTTGCCACCTGTATCAAAATAAATGCAGGTGGCTTCCACAGAGCTCCCTAGAAGAAGCAGTGCGTTCAGCCATCTGAGGTGAATCTCTTTTCGCCTAAGAACACTCAAAATATTGAGGCTTCCAAAATCTCTTTTCTGAAGACCAGTACTTTCTAGATTCTGAAATCAGTCTTCTCTAGAATCTGAAAATCAGAGCTTTTTCAGCATTATCAGCGTTTCCAGGTCTCCGAAGCTCAGTGTCTGCCTGGCCCTCCAGCCATGCTCTGCTTATTGGCAGAAGCCCTCTTGGTAGACATCAGGCTGCTCTTGGGGCTGAGAGTAAGGTGGTCTGGGCAGGTATCAGAGACAATATTTAGAAATTCAGGAAATTCACAGAAGATCATGCTTCTGGGAAAAAGCAAGGCAGGGCCAGAGACTGCTCTGCTTCCCTGTCTATGTCAGTTGGCCTCTTCAGCTGGAGTCAGTACCACTCACCTGAGCCAGAGATCCTCACGCACTATGGCTCCTGGAGCTCAGCTTGTCTTCTCCCTTCAGGATCTCTCATGTGGAGGGGCCAGGTCTGGTCCTCATTTTGAAGAATCAGTTTGGGAGTGTGTATGCAAATATAACAGCAGCATTCCTTTACCCAATAATAAATAGCATCTTAGGTTATTAGTCATTACGTCATTGCTCATTGCCTGCCATTTTCCACACCAAGGGAACAAACAAATTCCTATGGAGTACTGTCACTCTGCCAAGGACTGTGCCACATCCATTCAACACATTTCAAGGCACTTGAGACAGGCTGTGTGGCTGCCAGTCCAGTGTGACAGTGAAGATGTAGGAAAGAGACATGAATGAAAGGAAAGGGGAGACACAGGGTCCAGGCTGGACACTGAGCCTGGGAGGTTCAGGCAAGCCCTTGTTCACCTGCTGGTTCTTTACTCCAGTCCCAGAGTTCAGCCAGAGGCAAATATCCTTCTTTCATCTCTCCTTAAGGAGCACTCCAGGACGTCATTGACCCTCCTGTCCACCTCTTCTCTGTTCGCTCTTCTTCAGTGGTGACATGCAACACATCCCTAAGGGACCTTCCTTGTTGAAGCCCACCAAGAACCAGCTTCTCCCTACAGCCTGTTTGCTATTTACTTGCTTTTTTTAATTATTATTTTGCATTGCATTTGCTCTTGTCAGTTAACGAGTGTGGCTGTACTTCACAAAGCCAGTAACAGCTGGTCCATTCAGAGGAAAATCCACACGACCAAGTAAGATCAGAGCTGCTGGGCCATGAGCAATGGCACAGGGGCAATGGCAACAGCCACAGCAGTCCACTGTATGCTCTCAGGATGCCAGGCCCGGGCTAAGCCCGACACGTTCCTCAGCTCCCCTAATCCTGTGCTGATCCTGGGGCTGGCTGCTGGCCTCCCAGCTTCCACTGTAAAAGGCAGTGCAGGCTAAGTGATTTCCCTGAGGTCACAGACCAAGTTCCGGGCAGTCCAGGCCTTTCTGAGAATGTTGAAGCTCCATCTTTCAAATATGGGTAAAGACTAGGATTTTATCTTCAGATCTTCTTCCAGGCTCACATCTACATAACAGGCAAATACAGGAATGTGTCTGACAAATTATTTGGTAACATCCTTTCCTATTTACAATGCAGCCTGCCTTTTCTACTTAAGATGACATCTCAAATATCATTTCATCTCATCAATATTTTTCTGTAACATTATTTTTAATTGCTGCAAGGTATTTCATTATTGGTCTAAAGATCTGAAAAATCTTATGCCCTTGATAGCTACACTAGAAATGTCTAATTTGTCTGTTAAATGCTTAATACAGATCTTTAGAGAATTTCTTGATAAGCCTTTGGCAGGGGTATGAGATTGTGAAGGAAAATATGAAATAAAAAAATGGGAAACCCAACTGAGTATAAATTCTGTCATCCAACAGTCAAAGAACTAAAATGTGATTTTGAAATTGGTTTCATTCCTGCATTCTGCATCACCATAGGATTCTGACACTTCTCGTGATTTGTCCATGCATGCATAGCAGGAGGGGCAGCAAGGTGAAATCTCTGCTTCAGAACTACCCATGAGGAACAGTGCTAGGGGAACAAACCCAGCTGCAGTTGCCCACAGGAAACATTCAGTCTGGAGTCCAGAGCACAGTGTCCAAGGGAGCATGGGAGTGCATTGCCTCTGCAAGCATTGCATGGGGGAAGATGGGACTAGGTCCCATACAGGTAACACCAAGTCCTAACAGATGGCAAGAGCATAGCAGTAAGGAATCCAGGTCAGGTGGTAGCCACATATCCAGCTGAGCATCCAGCCAGCATCTGAAAGGCCCATCAGCAAGTAGCAGGGGCCTTATCATTAGCATGAGGTTCAGAAGACTGGCAAATTTTCAGAGGCCACAGTGTTAAGTAGTGAATAAGACAGAATTCAGAACAGAACAAAGAGTAAGAAAGTAGAGGACATTATGTAATTTCATGTTTGTTGTAAGAAACATTTGGAAGTCAGTAAAGGGATGGTTGCAATCCCCATTATTAGTGTGGCTATTAACTAACATCTCCTGACTGCCAGTCTGCTCATTTCCACCTTACATTTTTTCCACCAATATCTGTAGGTCAATGTTTGACATGTATCCTGTAGTTGTTATGTACAGTATTTTTTTTTAAAGATTTTATTTATTTATTTGACAGAGAGAGACACAGCGAGAGAGGGAACACAAGCAGGGGGAGTGGGAGAGGGAGAAGCAAGCTTCCCGCAGAGCAGGGAGCCCGATGCGGGGCTCGATCCCAGGACCCCGGGATCATGACCTGAGCCGAAGGCAGACGCTTAACTGACTGAGCCACACAGGCGCCCCTATGTACAGTATTTTATACGTGACCATGAGATCAGATATATATCAATTCTATTGAGCAGATGTTCTCTATCCTTACTGATTTTTTTGTCATCTTGTTCTATCAATTATGTAAGAGGCACATTAAGATCTCCTACTATGCCATAAATTTATTATTTTGATCATGAATTTGGCATTACGTATTTTGAAGTCATGTTAATTAGGTGCATATAAATTTATAATTTTTTATCTCTCTGGTGATCTGAGACTTTTATCCCTAAGGAGAAACCCTCTATCTCTAGGAATGCTTATTGTCTTAAAGCCTACTTTGTCAGATACAGAGGTCTTCTTTAAATTAATATTTGTGTGGTATATCTTTTCCCATCCTTTTCCTTTCAGCCTCTTCCACCTTTATGCTTTAGATGTATCTCTTGCAAATAGCATATAATTGGGTTCTGTTTTCTTTCCATAATTAACCTTATCATATAACTGCTTACATCATTATGGATTATAAGACATACCAATATTTTATAGACCAATAAGAAAGAGAAACACCACCAATTAAACCATGACACAGCATCTCAACAATAGCACTATGAAGTGCACAAATCAATCATACCAGCTTCTCCATGGTTCAAATTTTCTTTCATCAATTCCAAGGGATTTGTCAATTTCTCCTGTTTTACATTGCACATATCTCAGACACAAAGTGTAACAGACCTTCATCTACTTGTGGCTAGCTTCTTTTTTAGGTCTTTGACAACTCTTGGTATTTGCAAAAAAAAACAAAAGGAATTGCTTCAGTATTATTACCTTTTTACCCTACTGCTCAGTTTTCATGCCAATTCAGAGGACATCTTTTTGAAACATTTTCAACAAAAATTAAACTCAATATATGGAATAACAATGATCCACAAAACTCAACCGATGACAAAAAAAAGCTCTGACATGTTAGCACAACCTGGCAGGACTCACACAATGCCACAATCTATCATATGCCTCCCAATTCCAGAAATGTAAAAATATGAGTAAATATGTGTATTAAAATCAATGAAATAGAGCATTTGGGTTTAAAAACCTACCACTGTTATGGTGCTTTATAGTCATTACTCCTATTCTGTTTCTTCTTCCCTTTCTTGCTTTCTTTTGGTTTGAATATTTTTTGCCATTCCATTTATCTCCCTACTAGTTTGAAATTTATATACTTATATACTTATTTTCTATATTTTTAGTGCTTATCCTAGAAGTATCCCCCATGCATCCCTAAATTATAAAGACTAATGCTAATGAATAACGTTATCCTCCTCCCAGACAATCAAGGATGACAGAACTCCATTTACCTCAACTTCGCCCAATTTATATGCTTCTACTGTCATATATTTTAATTTCATATACTTTTAAAACTTTAAGATACTATTATTATTATTATTTCATAACATGAGTGTTAATTTATTTTCGCCTATATATTTAGTAACTTCTTTGCTCTTCATTTCTTCTTATACCTATACCTTCCATCTGGGATCATTTTCTTCTTATCTGAAGTCTGTATTTTAGGCTGCACTGTCTAATATGGTAGCCACCAGCCACATGTGACTATTTAAGTGTAAAGTAAGTAAAATTGAATAAAATTTAAAATTCAGTTCCTTGGTCTCATTAGAGATGCATTTCAAGTGCTCACTAGCCACACAGGTGGCTGGCTAAAGGCTACTGCACGGCAAATAGAACATTGTCATCACCTTCGAAAGTTCTATTGGATAGTGCTTATCTAAAGTTTCCTTTCCTGCAGACCTTATGGTAGTGAACACCCTCTGTTTTTGTTTAGCTGAAAATATCCTCATTTCACCTTCATTCCTGAATTGCCAAGTTCATCATTACCAGAAGGGAAGCTCCAGTGTGTACTCTGCCTGTATCGAGATACTTCTGCAGGTCCTACTGTCCTACCATCCGCCTCAAGGAACAGTCAGTCTCTGTCAAAAGGCAATCTTAAAAACTCACGTGGAACTTGGATTTTTTTTTTTCCAGAGAACAGTCTTATCCATGGGGTCAGAGATAAGTAAAACGCCACTATTGCAGCTGGGAATAAATAAGGAACTGAGTGGGATTTAAGTGGGTGAGACTGGGAAGCCAGTCATCACTTATTACATTTCTTTCTGTCAGAAAATGCATCTTACATTCCAAACTCACTCACATATGAGCTTTTGGAAACTCCAAGGAACCTCTGGCCCCTGTCCGCTAAGAGGGATCCCCGTAAACAGCCTGTAAACGGGGAGAAACTATTAGTATTTCTAATTATATAACAGTAGGAAAGCACAAATATAAACCACTTTTTTAAAAAGCAAATATTAAAAATGTGTGCTCAAAAATTTAACTGTTTGGGTGACCATGATTTAAAAACTATATATATATATTTTTTAAAGATTTTATTTATTTATTTAACAGAGCAAGAGAGAGCATAAGCAGGGGGAACGACAGGCAAAGGGAGAGGGAGAAGCAGGCTCCCCACTGAGCAAGGAGCCCGATGCAGAGCTCGATCCCAGGACCCTGGGATCATGACCTGAGCTGAAGGCAGACACTTAATGACTGAGCCACCCAGGTACCCCAGAAACTATATATTTTTTATATTTGGGGGTTTAAAATATAAAATTATATAAAATTAAATTTATTAAATATAAAATTTAAATATAAAATTATTTAAATTAACTAAACTTATTTTATTTATTCAGCTTTATTTTTTTTAATCCCAGGTTGGAATGCAGACTGTAACAAAAGAATCTAAATGTAGTAAAAAGGTATGAAATAACCTCACCACAGGGAATGAGGGAGAAAGGAAAGGTGCTGACCTAAAGTAACTTTGGAAATGAGTGGAGTCTATAAGACCAAAGGCAAAGGAACCGTAGATAAGCCCTGCATGCAGTTGGTAAAGTTTCCCACAGAGTGTGGAGTACAAGTGAACAACTTTGAAACCATTATACATGGGTACTGGCATTCAACAATTAAGCAAATGAATGGTGGATGGTAGCAGCCAGGTTTCTCACTGTTACAGGGAGAGTTTACAGACAAGCATGGGGAAAAGGCTGAAGTGATCCATGTGGAAATGGATTAGAGACATCAGTATGAACTCAGGTTTGGTGTAATATAGTACAGACAGTTACAAACAGAAATATTTATCAATATATGTCTGGCCTGGGTTGGTATCACAGGTATATTTCCCTGATTGGTCAGCTGGGAGAGCCTGGAAGCAATGATACCCAGTACAACAAGCATACCTAGTGCCCAGTTCATAGTTTTTAATACCATTCTCTAATAAAAAGAATTAAGACTCCTTGGGAAAATGACTGAAATTCTAGGGCTGGGTCAGGAAATGTACAAGATGGGTCTAGAGTACCTTGTAGTACCAGAAAGTAAAAAAAACAGGGGAGGCAATGATTGGGTATGTCAAAGGGACCCCAGAGCCAGCTGAAAGGGTTCCCAGTGGCAAAGTTGGAATAATTTGAGCAACAAAACAAATAATATACCATTGGATTATAAAGTATAAAATAAATATCCATGAATCCATACTGATATAAATAAATGATTGAATAAATAAGTAAGTGGGGGAGAACAGATTTCCTCTGCAGAGGAAATTCCAATAATTTATGTATATACTTCCTCCCTCAAAGAGGTGGAGCATAACTCCCCTCACCTTAGGTGTGGGCTGACCCATATTGTCTCCCTTCCAAACAGTACAGTGTAAAGGCCGGGGCCGGG